TATATACGCGTGGCCATGTGAGAGCATTTCGAGAGGGAGAGCGGACTCTCCCCACTCTCGGCCGTACCAGGGCATTTGGGGGCCTATGCCCCGACAGATTGCAGCCCGGTGCAATCAAGGATGAGTTCTACCACCAGTTAACTGTTCTTCTCCAGAAAGTGCGTTCGACAGATATTGTAGTACTAGCCGGAGACTTGAATGCTCAGGTCGGGCGTCTAGACACAGAACAGTCGTTTAGGTGGTCAATGGGGACTTGTTGGTCGCAGGACAGATAACGGGGACCGTCTACTGCAACTATGCACAGACCACAACCTGTTTCTGGCTAGCACTAACTTTCGGCACAGCCACCTGGCGTCCCCCCTCTGCATCTCAAGCCTGGACTCAGATTGATCACATCGCGATCAGCTACCGCTGGCGTGGTTGTGTACAAGACTGCCGCTCCTTTTGGAGTACCCCTCTGGAATCTGATCATGCTCTGGTCTGCGCCAATCCTACCTTACTTTTCAGTGGCCAACGGAGTGACGGCCACTAAAGGATTGATGTTAGCAAGCTGGCTGCAACTTCTGTTGCTAGTAATTACCGAACCGAGCTAGCTTCTAGGCTAGCTACCATTCCACCGAAAAGTATGGATGAGCATTGGCTGCAACTGCATGACGCCATGAAAATGGCGACTAAAGCCGCTTGCGGCTTCGCGAAACGTCCCGCTTACAAGCACTGGGTTTCTTCTGGTTCCTTACAAGTCATTGAAGCCCGTCGGTCTACTCCGGGTGACCGTGAGTTTGACCACAAACTAACGATGTCACGTAATGAAATTGAGCAAAGTTTGCGTAAGGACCGAGAAACCTGGTGGTCGAAGCGTACTAATGAGTTGGTAGCAGCAGCTGCATCTGGTAATTACCGGAAGTTCTTCCAACTCATCCGAGGCACTGGCAGCAAGAAGTCTGGTGTGAGCGAAACAATCTGCGAGGATGACGGAACGCCAATCACTAACATCCATCGACGTCTTGGACGATGGGCAGAATTTTACGAAGGGCAGTTCAACTGGCCTGCTGCTCCGGCAACATCGGTCAGACTGTCCTTCCCTCTATGGCCGGTGACGACTGATCCACCAAATGAGGCGGAAGTCTGCAAGGAACTCCAACTCTTGAAACGTTACAAATCACCGGGCCCAGACGACTTACCTCCGGCTCTTTTTAAAGATGGTGGTGACTTCCTGACTAAGGGACTGACGACGTTGTCTGGGAACTAGAGAGTGTACCAAAGTCATGGAATGAGTCGATAGTTGTCCCTATCTTTAAAAAGGGTTCACGTCGTTCCTGTAACAACTATCGGGGGATAAGTCTACTTCCGATCGCGTCCAAGCTTTTCGCTTCCGTCATACTTCGTAGGTTGTTCAAAACCCGAGAAAGATTGACTCGCGAGGAGCAGGCTGGGTTTCGTTTCGATCGAGGATGTATTGATCATATTTTCACCCTCCGCCAAGTGTTAGAACACCGTCATGCTTATCAAAGGTCAACAATCGTAGTGTTTCTTGATATCAGGGCTGCCTTCGATTCGTTGGACAGAACTGTTCTCTGGGAATGTCTATTGAAGAAGGGTGTGCTTGAGAAGTTTATTAACATCCTGAAAGCATTATACACAAACACCTCAGGCAGAGTGAGGGCATACAACCACCTCTCTCCATTGTTCCATTCAAGCAGTGGGGTTAGACAGGGTTGCCCAATCTCACAATTTCTCTTCAACTTTACCATCGATGACATTCTGGAAACAGCTCTGATGGATGTAAGTAATGGTGGTGTGGATCTGTTGCCTGGAGAAAGACTTCTCGACCTTGAGTATGCGGATGACATTGTCTTACTGTGAGAGAATGCCCAAGCTATGCAATCTGCACTTAATCAGTTGGCAATCAGTGTCCGTAGGTACGGTATGTGCTTTGCACCTTCGAAGTGCAAAGTACTTCTACAAGATTGGCAGGATTCTAATCCTGTACTCACTCTGGATGGTGAGCAGATAGAAGTAGTCGAGAAGTTCGTGTATCTAGGTAGCTGCATAAGTGCTGGTGTTGGCATGAGTGATGAGATCAATGCATGTATAGTGAAAGCCAGAGCGGCTTATGCTAATCTGGGCAATCTTTGGCGCCTTCGTGATGTTAGTCTGGCTGTAAAAGGTCGGATCTACAACACGTCGGTGAGAGCAGTTTTGCTCTATGCTTGTGAAACCTGGCCTCTCCGAGTTGAGGATGTTAGACGACTCTCTGTGTTTGATCATCGTTGTCTCCGAAGGATTGCTGACATTTAGTGGCAACACCATGTTAGTAATGCAGAGGTTTGGCATCGTGTGTTCGGGCACAGAGACGATAATGCAATTGGTGTCACCATCTTGAAACATCGACTTCGGTGGCTTGGACATGTTCTACGAACGTCGTCCCAGAGAATTCCACGTCGTGCATTATTTGCCGACCCTGGGACTGGTTGGAAAAAGCGGAGAGGTCGTCAGTATATGACATGGTGTCGTGATATGAAAGAAAGCTGCAAAGCGCTGGCTTGTGTTGGTCCTTCACCACTCCCTGTCTGGAGTCCGAGAGATGGTGCAACATAGTGGCTAGAGACGTTATCAGAAATGGCTCAAAATAGAAGCCGATGGTAATCGTGCTGTAACCTTCCTTTACTTTCTTCATAAAAAAGTGGTTGCCTCTTCCTTAACTGAAAGATTTCTTCTGATTGTACCTTTCCGTTTCCCCCATTATTTTTCTCTTTTTTTTTATAATTCCCCACGTTCATTACTTTTTTTTCTCCTTCTCTTCAAATTATCATTGTTTTGTGTGGCGCATATATATTTGGTGCCCCCTTGTACCAATATTTATGTGTTCAAATAAATAAATCAATAAACCCTATAAATCCGGTGTTCATCTTGTTGTGCTAATGAGGTATGGCATCTTGGACCGATGCATATATGTGCCTGGTCCTACGTTGCAGCTGACTGACTGACTGATAGTGGTTTATGAACAATTACTGCCTAAGGAAATGACGAGCTGTACGCTTTACGGATTTTCACCGTCGCAATTCATAAAAATACGTAAACAAGCTTGTAAAAATGTTAAGTGGGATAATTGGCTTGAGTTCACAAATTAACACCACTGGATTATTGAAAAATGTTCCAATTGATTGGGGTTCGCGTGATGATTGTAATCAGTGATTGGAGACGTTGGATAACACGACTTAGAATCCTTCACAGTGGAACACGTGCGCCATAGTGTGAGCACCATAGCCTGATACACAAATTACTATCTGGCTGCTTATTAGATGTAGTATCTTATAACTCAAGTAAACAAAATACTACTACTAATGTAAGTTTAAAAGTGAATACAAGTAGCTCATAGATAACATTAAAGAACTACTCAATACGATTATCACTACAGAGCAGTAATAAATTTAGAGTAAAACTTGTTAAATTTCCAAATGTTTTTTAGACTAATTGTTTTCTGAAAACCTAGCACAAATAAACGAACCTACCTCCCACTTTCCACAAAGTAGAGAATTAGTGTACTACAAAGCAAATGTATACTTCACGAAACTTCCAGTCAGTAGAAAGCGAAACAGTTGTTTTACGCTTAAACGGATCATAATACAATACACAAATGAATTCAATAACCCAGTAGTAGTGGTTATTGATATTAATGTCAAAATGGGGCACATAAACATTTCTGCTGAACAGTTCTTGTTTGACATTAAATAGAAACACCAACCTGGATACTAGTAAATGCTTGTTATACTACTCCAGACCGAATAAATATACAATACAGAAATCTAAGGTTTGACTAACACGTAAACGCAAAATAACATAAAATATAATATCAATACGCTCGAGATATTCAACATTTTTTTGATTTCCCATGATTGTGGATGGTACGATACATCAATCAGTAGTGAAAGTAATCGCACACAGGTAAACACAAAATTTGTTACTATTTCCCCATACACTGTTCCATAATTTTAATTTTGTTAACATAATCACTTTCAACAGTTAACAACACTTAAGAATTGTGGACTGATGTCATTTTATATATAATGAATACTACTTATACATACGCGTGTCTATGAACATTTTAGTGCAAAATGAAATCAATTCAGTGTTTTAATAAGATAAGTCAGTAAATTCGGAAACTGTGAGCACATAGTAATGGTAGTGGATATTTTCGTGTGTGTTCTTGTTACCATCTCTCGCTGAACAATGAGTCATGTGCAGTTATCCTAGGTATTTGCATGTCAAATAACTAGAAGAACAAGGTAACATGAGTAGAAACACATGCCACTTACTGTGTAATTGTATATGTACCTAAAACATTTTATTTCACATTGGCATCCACATAACTAATATTAAGGTTAACAATACTGAAGTTCATAGTGTCATGATATTGAAATAGTAGAATAGTAACACTATGTGAGCTGGAGGCGAACCACTCATAAAAAATTTGTGGGAAAATTCTAACAACTTTAAAAACTTGAAAACTACACCATCATCTACAGAAATAGGGCATGCAATTGATTTGAGGTGGAAATAAAGTCATTTTGAATAGTGTTTCGACTTGTATAAAAACTGACCATCAGAAATCTACACATATAAAAATAAGTGTCAGAAGCCAAGAGTGTAGCCAGATACATTTTTAATAATAACTACTTGATAACTAATAAATGTTTAATACAAACAACTATTGGGATGATTTTTTTCGTGTCTTTATATACTCTAAAAAGAACAACAAAAACAGCACCCAAACATCATAAGGTTATTACGTATGATAGATCATTATACTCAAAACATCAAAATACGACTGGATAATGCAAAAACTTGGGGAAGTTTTGACTTCGTCTACGTATATCATACTACCTTTGCTATGATCCTTTTCTGGAGAATCGAAATACATCGTCAGACTAAAACATTGAAATCGTTGCAATACTTACAAACATAAATCTAATATTAAAAATAATATAAATTATACTTACTGATATTATATGGCATATTGGATGTAGCAGATGCATCCGGGCATACTGGCATTGGAATATTTTGACCTGGCATAGAATATATATTTGAAGTTGCCGCTTGAGTAAAAGGATTGGCAAAATTGGGCAACTGAGGCATAGGTATATTGGGAAGTACGGGTACAGAACCGGGTATCTGCCATCCGGTACCAAGCTGGGGTAGATACACATTAGAAGTTTGCCCATTGGGTATGACAGGAATAGGAGGTTGTGATAAAGAACCTTACATAAACCAAATAGAGCAACATACTTGTGATTTTAATTTACAATAAAACAATATAAATCGCACATTAAAGTCGGGTCAAAAAGGATATTTGGTTTAAAATTACTATAGTGACTAGAACTCGTATTTTAAAGAGAGCAAGAACAAAGATTGGTGCAGAATAATATGAATTCACTTTATTTCGTTAGGTTCTCATCAGCTGCTTACAACCTAAAATATTTGAAATTCAACGTTATTACAGATATTGACATACTTATACATCGGAAGGGGATGAAGGATGAATATATGTAACATGATGTAGCAAAGATTCCGCTAGAGTTAATGAGGTCATAAAATTTTTGTCTCGAATATATAGAGTTTGGGAGGGAGGGTTCCATAAAATTGAAATAGTGATTAGAACTCATGGAATTAAAACACATTAGATAATTATGTAATGAAGTAACTGAAAATAGATTAATGGTAATAAAGAGAGATATGAAATGAAATTGGTCAGTTATGAATGATATAATTATAAAATTCAGAAAGAGTTGGGATGATGTAATAAATAAAAGGGGAGGTTAATGTTACCAGGGCAAAGAAAGATTTATTACTGTTTCTTTTTGTATACAAAGATCTGGTTTTAAACGTTTGATTGCTATCGTTTCGGCGAATTTCAAAAGGTCTGACATCTCCTTGACGCAGGACACGAAGTCGATATACTGAAGTCCTTCAAAATGATCAACAAACAATCAAATTCTTTGCTACATCATGTTACATATATTCATCCTTCATCCCCTTCCGATGTATAAGTATGTCAATATCTGTAATAACGTTGAATTTCAAATATTTTAGGTTGTAAGCAGCTGATGAGAACCTAACGAAATAAAGTGAATTCATATTATTCTGCACCAATCTTTGTCCTTGCTCTCTTTAAAATAATAAAGGAAACTATGTGTATGAAAGAACTCGTATTATTAACTAAAAACAATAACGATAACAGACCTGGATAAGGAATTGAACCAATGCATTGGGGATTTGACGGAGGATTTAAACTTTGCCGTTTTGTGATGGGAGCAGATTTAGAAAACACTGGAGATGTCTCACCAAACACAGCCTGTAATACTGATATTAATTCAACTAGATCTGCATCTGGCTGTTAGTTGTAAACAAAATAAATGAGGATTAACGACAAGAAACCAAACTCTTAGTGAAACACAGTAATAAAAAAAATTATAAGACCACGAAATCAGTATTTTAGGTAGAAAAGTAATTAACGTGAAATATTACTAGCTTTACACTGGTTAATTACTCTTTGATGTGAGAACTTGAAACTATATGTCCCAGTTTTTACGTTGCGTACGAATTACCATATCTACTAATACATGCTATCCTGGTTAATATATTAATTAATATTGTGAACTTATCCTCTCCTAATCATTCCCAATATTGTAGTTTCGCTTGCTATGGTATATTTTGCATCAAGATACACTTAGAGAGCTACGATTTGTATCCTCAAAAAAGTGAAAAATATGTCAAGATGGATACAGAGACAGATAAAGATGAACCGGCGACAAACAGGGATGTGACGTTTAATAATCTTGAAAAAAATAAGTCCATACATTTGTTAGTTTTACAGGTGTCTAGTAGTATCACATAGGATAGCCATATTACTTACTTACGCCATATACTGACTGCTAGTTTCCGGAAAATCAGATAGGAAGATCATAGTTTCTTAGATTTATGCAACAGCAAAGAACAAGAATACCAACCGTATATTAACCTCTGCACCTTTTTTCAACCTGTTTCATCTACAGTTAGTACTGTATATTCGTATGGACAGTGTCTTGGGAAGCAAAATACATCCTGTTCATTTTACCAGAGCAATATTTACAACCACTGATCAAGACATTGCACCAAAAACACTTTGAACAACTGTGTAGTATGATCGAGTTTCGACAGGCAATCAGATATCTTGTTAATATGACAAATAATGGAAGATAGAAAACATAGTTTGTGATTTCTAGAAATTCACCACCAGCTGTTAGCTTGCAAAAGCTGATACAAAACCTAGATAAGCAAAATAATAGATGGGTTGCTTTTCTGTAGTTACAATGAGTACCAGAATTGAACAGTCCTCGATTATCTTGCGTTTCGAAGTTATAAAATGTACTTCAATATTTTCATACAACGTTTGAAAGACTAGTTAGAGTTATATCAAGTGCCTGGTGACTTATTGCAGTGGAATGAATGCATTTATTTCTATCTTACCAACAGAAAATCCAGGTAGGTCTTTACTTTCTATTTAGTCTATCTTATTTCAACATATCGTTAGGTTGGTCAAGCACCAGTAGCATCTATTAGTAACTGAACTACAAAACATATGACTTTATATGAGTTTGAAGCAATATTACTTCAGTTTTTCATTATTTAGTTTCTTCATTTATTTCGGGCTGTATTTTTTACTTGGTATTACTATAATCATAATAATAGGATGACAATTTTTCCTCCATTTACTCTGCAGTTGTTATTTTATTTTATTATTTATTTTATTTTAACACATAGATATTGGTACAAGGAGGCACCAAATACATATGCGCCACACAGATCTCATTGGATATGTGTGAGGGCTGTGATACTGCCCGGGTGCCCAAACCGAAGCAGATGGTTTTCTTAGGGGGCCACACCACGAGCCTTAGACCTAAAGGTCTAACCCACAAGGCAGTGGAGCATCGTAAGGAGATGCAGTCCCATGGTAGCCGGTGACCATCGATTGGTTCATACGCCATTTGTTCCTTCAGGATACTGGAGCCCATGTGCACCATTGGTTTGGGATCCGGTTATTGCGCCGGACATTCGTTTTTCGTCCTCTCATTTTCGTAAACAACACCCCCGCCACGAGAAGGCAGTGAGTAGGACTTCCCTGGCAGAGGCTATATACGCGTGGCCATGTGAGAGCATTTCGGGAGGGAGAGCGGACTCTCCCCACTCTCGGCCGTACCAGGGCATTTGGGGGCTCTACAGTTGTTAGTTTGGTTATTATGTTAATTTAAAGTGTAGCAGCTCGGATCAATCCAAGCTTTTTCCCAAGTTCTGTGTTATTTGTACATAGTTGAATGAATGAACCAACGTTCCAGTTCAGCAGCTGGAGTTATTAGCTATTGTAATTATACTCAAGTCGGCTTATAAGAGTAAGCCTGGAAGTAACCACTTGAAATTAACAAATACAAAACAACTAATGATACAAAAACACTGGTATATGTACTGGATCTATCCATCGAACAAACAAATGTTTAGCTGTACACAGCAAAGTTTTCACTAGATATATTTTTGTTTTCGCACAACCACACACGCGAAGAGGCTACTAAATTAAAAGACCGAAAACCTATTTTAATTCATACAGAATAGAGACAAACTTATTACTTAACTATTTAATTCGAGTGAAACAACACAGCCTAAACGACACTTAGTTGAGGTTCCTATCTCCGACGAACTGATAGTTCATGGAAAATCTGCACTTCTTAAAAATGATTCATCACTTGACGTAAAAACCAGGTAAAAAGTTGGGATGTGGATAGCGAAGATACGACCTCATAAAAATGAACATTAACATGAGGAGCTCCACAGACATGCTTATTGGGCCTATAGCTTATAATTGGCATAACCGGTAATATAGCAAAACTAATAAAATATTAGGTTATGTAGAATCTATGGATACGTTATTACGTCTGCTCAGAAAGACTCACATGTTTCCAGTCTGTCATGTACGGCAGTTGAACAAGACCAGCACTGTCAACGAAATCACTCGGCTTTATCTGCATAGTATTTGTGGGCCTCACATAAACCATAGGAGACTTGTGTGGATAAGCTTCGAACAGAAATATTGCAATCGGTATATTGTAAGTTGAACCCATATACCTGACAGGAATAGTGCCGTCTAAGCTAACGAGTCTCCGGGAAGTTCCATCATTTTGGACTACATAGTACATTAAATAATATTTAAACTTACTGAAATCTTCGAACTTGGGACGTAATTCCTTAAATGCTTTCAGGGCACAAGTGACATCTCTACGAACGATCTGTGGGTATGTATACTAAAAAAGAGTTTGGATGACGCTTAGTGAGGCTTCAAAACTTACTTTCGCCAGGCATTTAGCGGAAATCCATTCATCGGCAGACATTAGGTAGGCGTCCAAATATGCCACACTTGTCAAGGTCGAAGTCTTCAAGGTAGCTCCGTGTAGCGGCCACGTCTGACTAGGTGAACACGCGAAGTAACGTGCGCGAGGACAGGAAAGGAGAAAAACAAAGGAACAGGTGAGTCGACGACCCAGAAAACCCACACGATGCGCTACAAGCACATGGTTCAAACCGCTACACTCCAATCTTTCAGTCTTCAGTCTGCAGTAATAAGGATAGGAGGTCTATCGACCTATATTAATCCTTGCAGTTTGTAATACTGTGGAGGTTCAATCTCGTTTTGAATATATCAACAGAAGGTGCTGATATTACGTGTTCCGGCAGAGAACCCCAGTAATTCACTACTTGGTGCGAGAAACGAAACTATAGACGTAAACGATTTGATCTCAGTTTTTGAACTTTTTTCGAATGTCCTCTCAAATGATCAGTCCTAGATGGAAGTAAAAGATGAGACACGTTAATAGCAAGTTCATCGTTCGGTATACGATAAGCCAATATTAAATCACCCCGTATTCTACGGTAAGATAACGGAAATAAATTAAGGTGTCTCTGTCTTCATAAGATAGGCCAAATAGACCTTGTACCATCTTATTACCTCGACGTTGGTCTCTTTCCAGCATATCTGCTTCATACTTGAAACAAGGACTCGCTGCTTGAATCTCATATTCTAAATGTGGTCGCACGTAAATCAGGTATAATAATCTAAACATTTCATCATTTAAATAATGGAAAGACCTACGAATAGACCATAATACCCTATAGCATTTCGTTTTGGTAGATCAGATATGCGACACCAAAAACGATCAATAACACTAATTTTTATGTCTTTATTATGATTACATTTGCATTCTCATTTTTTCATCTAGATATCTGTTTTTCTGCAAATTATCAAGCATGACAAGTACACTTTTTTCGTATTGGGTACTTTATGTTTTACATTTTCCAGACCAAGGGCCTATTCACTGAACTCAGACCTGAATTTTTTCGAATAATTTGATTGACACTCTGTGTTGCCAAACGCTACTATAATGATGTTTTAATGTGTAGAAGTTATCGAGCTACTTTAATGGTTCACACATTGAGATGATTATTCTGATAAACATTTAGTTTGTTTTTGGTCGAAAAGTATCACAAATCTGTCCATTGTTTTGAAAATGGTCATGATGTCACATCATTAATGTTACGACGTACGTGCTGCTGATGCCATTGTAGAACTAGTGAAATGTCACTGGGTCCTAAACAAAGCAGCCTGCAGTCGGTCACTGAATATCTGACAGTTCACCGATTCCCATCAAAATGCAGGATAACTAACGCGCATCAGTTAATTGCATGTCATGGAATGGCCCATGTGGTGTTGGTCACCTTCTGTTTCTTGTATACACTCTTACTAATATACTTCTGTAGTAACGTCATTTGTGTTGTATGGCCGTCAAAGTTCCCATAGTACGTAGATACGAAAATTCTATATTGTGCCAAAAATATAGTATTAAGTAAAGCTAATAAAAAATGAAAAAAATAAATGACGTTTGAATCGTTGTTGGACGATAAATATAAAATACTCCATTTACACAACTCGCTATTTAGTTATGGCAGCTATCAAGTAAATCCAAAGTCCTGGTCGACAGTTGGAGAATTATGAGTGGCACTCCAGTTAACATTTAACTAGGAGATAAAGAAACTTGTCGAAACGTGACATCAAAGATGAAAAACTGTGAAAAGTTGTATTTATAAATATTCCATAGTGATGTGTGGGTGAGAATGATGATTGGTTGTTTGCTTGTTGTTATAACGCTCGGTTTTACTACGTCTAATGTTATGACGTTGGTTTCCACTTTTACACGTATGTGACGTTAATTCACCTTAGACGAATATCTACATCAGATTTCCTCCCAGTGTCTATTCTACAGGACTTCAACACAACTCAGATCAAGGGAACGTGATTAGCCTGACCACAACGTAAATATATTTCCACACCAAAACCTGACACAATCCAACAACAATGATTAATCAATAATAAGAAAGTCCTAATAATAATAAGAATAGGGGAATACGTAACTCATCTGAAACCTGTCAGACTATCTAAATGTCTGGCTAAGCAGACAACCAATCATTATCATTCTCGCCCGCACATCACTTAGTCAAAGTTGTAGAAAGTTTGTCAGGCCATATATGATCTATATATTCTCCTTTCCTTACCATTACGTTGATAGGTTTTGGATTATGTCTGATTGTTGTCGATTTTTGGTGTGGAAATATGTTTACATTCTAGTCAGGCTAATCATGTGTTCTTGATCTGAGTTGTGTTGACGTCCTGTAGAATAGATATTGTGAGGGAATCTAGCGTAGATTTTGGTCTAAGGCAATTAACTTCCCATTGGTGTAAATGAAAATACCGAGTGTTATAACACATACCAAGCGGCTTCAATGTGTTAGAAAGACACCGATTTTTAGGAAAAAGTTTAATAAGTTACAATTCCCCGTTAAGAACAATTAGTAACTAAAATATACATAATATGTCTGCAGGATAAAACTTAAGGGCCTGTAGAGAACTACATTATTTTGACCAGGCTTGATGACTTATTAGAGGCATAGTCAAAAGCAATAAATGGTGTGTTCAGATATATTCAATCTCGTTTTTGTTTATATTCCTGTAAGCTGAAGACGTTAACTTATTGCGAACCAACTGAATATTTTCAATGTTAAAAGTTCTGTACTCCACATTTTTGTCAGTACCTCCTAAAAACCCTAGGCTTTATATGATGGTTTTGGATAAGAACTTTTCATCACGAATCTTGGAACTAGTTCTTGGTAGTGGGAAGCCTGGCAACCCTAAATTAAGTGCGTTGTCAAGGACTGCTAATGCTCTTTGGCTTTATTCACAATTTCATTGTTTTTGAATGAGAAACATAGTTGTTATGACATCATAATTTCTTAATTTTGACGTGTTTCAGTAAAACAAAAGCATCACCTGTCGAAAGATCTATACAAGTTATATAGTTCCGTGCATTGTTTTTTATAAAATTTCGGATTCTTACAAGTAGTTGAGGCTTCCATTTAGTCTTTTTATTTAATGCCTGTTACGAGACGTAACAGATTTTTCTGGCTTGGAAGACAACTTGTCTATAAAATCCAAGTACCTTGACAGTTTAGCCACTTTGGGTTCTCTACAAACATTCAGCAAACAGAAACCCAGAAGCTTTTTAATTCTAGGACACTGAAGTCACATTCTGGGAGCGGCCGATACTGAACCCCAATCAACAACAATCTAAACGCAGGATGCTTTGTCCGAATTTCGTATTTTTAAATGCTTATTTGTAAGAAATGCTGTTCTAAGACGCTTTAACACTCACAGGCGCACACTACGGATAAGCAAACAACGACGATAAATCATATATTATTATAAGCAGCTGCATTTGTATTGAGCATTTGATTAAAATCACAATCATCTTCAGGAACTTAACTGGTTCATGCCAAAACCTAGAAGTTTGATGCTGTACAATATACGTGAACTGTTTGTTCTCAGACAATCAGGATACCTAGCAGACATAAAACTTCGTAATTATTAGAGCAAGACTAATAATGGTAACCTGTCTCCAGCATTTTTTTCATCTTGATATGGACAGCTAGCCATGTGGTAAGTAACACTGCGGTAAATTTGGCTTTAATCACACGGTCCCTGAGGCCGAACATAGAGTAACTGAGAGGAATTACATTGGCCGTTGAACATCTGGCGAAGGTCAGTAAAGTTCAAAGTGCGAACATTCAATCGAGACTACACAGCTAGACGATGACGGCGTAGTTACTATGCATCTTCTTTCACTTTATATTAAATATATAATTTTGTTACCACTTTGAAAACATTCTGTAATCGTTCTTCAATAGGCATACTACTGACCTTCACGGTAGGAAAAGTTATTATAGACAATGATTTGATTATCACGTTAGATCTGATGGGTTAGGTAGTCATATCATGGCAAATCCATGATATTGGGTTAAATCTATCATTAAAGTGGCATAAGTAAGTGTTGGAGGGAGAGTTGGATCCCCAGAATACACTTGGAAAAGTACCTTTTTTCAATTTTATTTAGAAAATTCGAATTTCTTTGTTTTCGCGCCATAAGCGCTTTTTTCGCCTTGATGTCGTATTTCCAACTTGGGAGAATCATAAACGCTATGGGTCCGTTGCATCTTTTAGTACGCGATTTTGTAATGCTTCTCAAGGACGGTTTTGTGCTGTATATATACCTTTTGATTTGTGTCTGTTGTTATCGCTCGTGCTTCTGGCTTTTTGCGGAATATACTTCCCCGTTTGGACTTCGACTTCGCTTTCTAACTAGCGGGGCTGAGACACAATAAAATAGCCGGTTTGTTGGTCTTTGGTCACAAGTCTTTGTTCTGTTTGCAGACTAAGTGAACTTGTAACCGATTCAAACCTATCAAATTTGGCGACGGAGTTAGCACATACATGGATCCTTCAAATGTAGAATTATTGATTGAGCAGCAGCCAAAACTAATGCAGATGTTGGCAGATGCAAAGCTTATGCCTAACACTCAACCAAGCACTTCTTACACTACTACTGCTGCACCGTCAGTTGATGGTATTGCGAATAGTATCTCAGAGTTTCATTATGATCCTGATTCCATTGTCACATTTGATATGTGCTTTCGACGTTATGAAGACTTATTCAAATTTGACTTCGCCAATCAGGATGACGATTGGAAAGTCCGCTTGCCGCTTCAAAAACTGGGTACTAGTGAATTAAATAGATAATGTAACTTAATTCTGCACCTGAACCCACGTGAACGCTCATTCTTGGACACCGTCTAGTCACTGAGCCAACAGTTTGGAGATAACCCTTTACTGTTCGACGCACTTTATCGATGTTTGAAGCTGACTACGAACGAAGACGCTGATTTTCTCACGTATGTGGGTATCATCAACTGCGAATGCGAACGCTTCCGGTTGAAGTCGCTGACTGAA